TTTTATGTGCTTACCTCCTTTAAAATCAGGAGTAATTGTAGTAAGTAGAGAAGAGCAAGAATTCTGGCTTCCTGCTTCACAGATGATTCAGTTCTGCACCTATGACTCTCCTATAAAAAAAAAGTACAGTGATTCATAAATGCATTGTTAGTGGATTGGGAGATGTCATTAATGTTTCTTATCAATAAATGAAAAGTATTTCTTTCTAGAACCTTTCCCCTTTCTAGAGAAAGAAGGGGAATAATCACTTCTTTTGACTCGCTGGCCATACTTCTCCTGAGGCAGCCCAGGACATGGCTGGCTTTCTGGGCTGAGAGCGCACATTGCTGGCTCGTGTTGAGTTTCTCGTCAACCAACACCCCCAAGTTCTTCTCCACAGGGCTGCCCTCAATCCACTCATTGCCCAGCCTGGATTTGTGCTGGGGATTGCCCTGACCCATGTGCAGGACCTTGCACTTGGCCTTGTTGAACTTGAGGACGTTCACATGGGCCCACCTCTCCAGCCTGTCCAGGCCCCTCTGGATGGCATCCCTTCCCTCCAGCGTGTCAACTGCACCACACAGCTTGGTGTTGTTGGCAAACCTGCTGAGGGTGCACTCAATCCCACTGTCTGTGTTGCCAACAAAGATGTTAAACAGCACTGGTCACAACAGCAACCCCTGAGGAACGCCGCTCGTCACTGCTCTCCACTTGGACATTGAGCCATTGACCGCAACTCTCCGAGTGTGACCATCCAGCCAACTCCTTATCCACCGAGTGGTCCAACCATCAAGTCCATGTCTCTCCAATTTAGAGACAAGGATGTGAGACAGTCAAACGCTTTGCACAGCCCAGGTAGATGACATCAGTTGCTCTTCCTTTATTATCCACCAACACTGTAACCCCGTCATAGAAGGCCACCAAATTCCTCAGGCACCGTTAGCCCTTAGCGAAGCCATGTTGGCTGTCACCAATCACCTCCTTATTTCCCATGTGCCCCAGCACAGTTTCCAGGAGGATCTAATCCATGATCTTGCTGGGCCCAGAGGTGAGTGATCAGCCTGTAGTTCCCTGGGTCTTCTTTTTTTCCCTTGCTAAAAATGGGGGTTATGTTTCCCCTTTTCCAGTCAGCAGGAACTTCACCAGACTGCCACAACTTCTCGGATACGATGGATAGTGGCTTAGCCACTTCATATGCCAGTTCCCTCAGGAGATAAAAATGAATGCGCTCAATATAACCTCTTACAAAAACCTATCTCCCAGACTCCTAGCAGGCATTCTGCTCCAGCCTGAATGGCCGGGTCGTAAAAAGTTTTCCTGCAGTTGCAATTCTGGGCTCAGACCACATAGACCAGCCAAAAAACAGCACTAAGGGTGGTGTGAAAGGAAACTGCAGTTGTTGAAATCTGAACAAGTGACACGTGATAGAAGTCTACAGGCACAGTAAATCTAGACAAAATGCCCAGAGATGAGAGCAAATCTAACCCGCAACTACTAAGTTTGGTGGTTGATCTACCCTGTCTAGACTAGTACTAAAACATTATTTGTATTTCCATCCAACACCTATACTAAGCTTGATCCTTATGGCAAGTGCTATAAGGAATGTCAGAGGAAATGTTGCATGGGCTAGTAACTAAAATCTCCTCCCCAATCCTTCACTCACTGACTTTGACTGACAGGCAGGTAGGCAGCACACCCATTTAATCAGTGGTGTGCCAGCAATCAAGAGTAGTCATCCTATCCTTAAATATGTGGGAATATTCTATGGCAAATACTGACTAAACAAAAAGCAAACTGGGCCCAACTATGACACTCACTTGTATGACTATTAAGTAAAATTCATCTTATTTACAACAAAATTAGTCTTTTTCTGATCATCCTTGCTCATGATCCTCTCCTGCTCCCCATCCTGAGTTGTTCAATTAAAATACTATTAAGCAAATGGAAGGTTGCAAATTGCTAGAAACTGAACCCACTTGGAGACACAGGAGCATCCATCCATAGGCTGATTCATCTGATAGAGCTTCCACCATACAAGCAAATCATGGCACAGGTGCATACTGGACTCCAGAACAACTTTCTGATGTCAACAGCTAAGACCAGGCCTCAAGTTGTCCTTTCTTAAGGTATCAGTCAGGATCAAATTAATACATAATTTACTTAGTCCCCTCCTCCTCCACACACACACACTTCCTTCCAGCCCTATATACTTGTATGCACCCCTTTTTGTGCTGTCTATTCTGTGAGGTGCTGCACAAAATCAGCATACCAGTGCCAAAAGGCAATAGTGAGATGGCCACTAGATCCTATTCAACATAAGAAAGCAACCATTTCTTTAGAATCTGCAAGGTAGTCAAAAAAAGCCAGACAGGGGAGGCATGAAATAGCAGGCACCAATAAGGAGCATGCAGAATTTCTCTCTCCTGGGCAGAAACTGCACCACCTTAAGAACCCTTCAAACTTACTATGACGTGACAATAGAATTGCTCTGATAAAGTTGTATTATCCATGTTGCACCTAAAGGCATAGATAAAACAGTTCTGTATCTCACCATCACAAAACACATTTTTGTAAACAAAACAATGACAGTCCAAAGTGAAAGCATTTGGGATTTTGTCTCATAACAGGAAAACCAAAAATATCTTCTTTAATTTACAACTATTTGTGAAAGAGTAGAGCTAGGCAGTAAGATACAGCAACACACACAGTGCAAATTACGTAATATATCAAACAAACTGTAAATAGCTTTTTATTATCTATTGCTATTGGAGCTTGAACAAAATGGCATTTTAATTTTAGCTTTGTTTTACATTTGAAAATAGTTTGTTTCATGGTACCACATTGCTCTGGAATTAAATTGTTTCTCCAAAGACTATCATAAAAGCTAGATTACAAGTTTGGCTCCATGCTTAGACAGCTGTATCTAAGTTAAATGAAACATGAGCAAACCTGCAACCTATATAAAAGACTTCTATAGATTCTGAAACCTGCACAATAAATCAAGGTTCCACATAACAAAAGTGTAAGAGATCTTCCTGCTGATAGGCCACCACTTTCTTAAACTGCTCCTCAAAGTGCATAGAGCTGATTAAAGGCCAAAAGGATGTCTGCTGGGGGATCACCTCAAATGTTATTTTGGCATTATTTCATCACATCCGGTTATTTTCTAGGTTGATTTAACAAAAGCACAAGCATCTAGGAGATAATGGTAAAATGTATTAGGCTTTTATGTTTTTGTCCTCAAAACACTCTGTGGCAAACAACTGTGTTTTACAGTAAACTTGCATAATAGCTAGTTTCTTTTTTGAATTTACAGCATCACCTTCTAGTCTCTTGTGCCTTTCATTTCTCCAACATATATTAAATGTAGTGTTTAACAGAATGTAATAATGTCTTCCTATTCAATATAGCCCATTCCCCACTGCCATTGCTATAGAGGCCAACTGCTGTTTTTCTTAAGGTGTGTTGTACACAATAACTGAGATACCTGTCTGCTAATTATGTCTGAGAATTTGAGACTATGTATTGATTCACCAGAGGTTGACACTGGTACAGTTCAGCACACTTAGCTGCAGGTATATGAAAAATCATATTGTCTTCAATAAGCTTCTTACATGCCCCAACGGAACAGGCCCAACATAACACACTGAGCTCTCAAGTTTTCATGATTCTGATACAGCCGTCTGCTGATGGCTCATCACCATTCATTACTGACTCTCCAATTGTTGCTGAACTTACAGTTTTTAATACAATTACACCTGTCCCACTGGTCAGGTATGTCAGGGAAATCACATCTAGAGGAGCTCACAGACATAACCAGTCATTAAAACATGCCACTGTCATGCTGTCAGCAAAAGAGATTTACCCTGTTCCAATTTTGAATTTGGTAAATTAGCTAGACCTCTGCTGGTGGAAAAGAAGGTAACAGGAGCAAGTTCTTAAGAGATGGAACTATCTTATATCTGAAACTACAATACATACAAATTTATCTAAAATTATAAAGTATTAACTCTACTAACAGTTTGTATCAGTTCATTATCACTCCACAAAAGGTATAGGGTCATAATTTTTATGACTTGAAACCACAGTGATTTACAATAAAAAAATCCTAACAAATGTACATGTAACAATTACCTCTGCTATCAATAAAATACCTTTTTTCTACAAGTATTAAATACAAAGTTCTTAATACCCAGAAGCTTCATTAATATCATAAGTGATCACTGTGTCATAAAGAATAATAGGATGATCTTGATAACAGTGGAATGAGAATCAGTGGCAAAATAAAAAAAAAAAGTAAGGTCACACACTTCAGAACCACTAGTAAGAATTTCTCCTAGAAGGTGGAAACTCAACCATTGATGTTGGAAACAACAAAGGAGAAAGACCCAAGAGACTTTTTCACTGGCTGGCTGATTATGATTACCAACACACTACAACTATTAAAAAGGTAAATAGGATTTTAGGAGCTAACACTCTCCATTACAACTAGGAACGCATTTATCTTGTAGAAGCAATAACGAGTGTTATGCATCCGCTTAAATTAAACCGTAATGAGGAACAGGTGCAGCAAAGAGCCCCGAGCGGGACGGAGGGAATAAAGAGCCTGTTCGCCACCCGGCCCGGCTGCCGCGCCCCGCCCCCCAGCCCTCGGGCAGCGAGAAGCGCGGAGAAGGCGCGGGTGGGCAGCCGGTCAGCACCGCAGCAAACGCACAAACAAACAACCCCCCCGCGCCGCAGCCCCCAGGCTGGGCTTCTAACGGCCGAGCCCCCCCCCGGCGCTCAGCAAGCCCCCCCTGTCGCCGCCGCCCGGCTATTTATTGCCGGCGGCCCCGCGGCGGCTCCTCCCACCGCCTCCCCGGGCCTCCGCTTCCTCCCCAGCGCCCCCGCCCCAGCCACGCTCGCTCTCCCCGCTGCTGCCGCCACCTTCCTGTCACCGTCTCCCCCCAGCGCCCGCCCCCACAACCGTCCGCCGGCTCCACCCCTCCCCCCTCCGCGACCGTTGGGAGCTTTGAATGGGACGCGGCGCGCGCGCACACCAGCCCCGCCCTACGCGCGCGCCATGGCGGCGGCCCGGCTCAGCCTGTGACAGCAGGAGAGCGAGGCCGCCGTCTTCCCGCCGCCCTCCCGCTCCCTTGGCCGCGGCCCGGGCCCCGGCTCCCCTCGCCTGCGAGCAGCGCGGCGCGGGGGAGGGGCCGCCAGCAAACTGTCATGCAGGATCCTCCGCCGGAACGCGACGGGAGCGCCCGCCCCGCCGAGGAGCGGCGGGGGGCGGCGGCGGCGGCGCCGGGCGGCGGCGGGGCCTCCTGGCTCCAGCGGGTCTTTGAGGAAGTGCGGGGATCCTCCCAGCTGAGCGTGGCCCCCGCGGAGCCGCCCCCCGTCACGGTGGTGGCGGTGGAGCGGTACCTGGCCGAGCCGCCGCCGCCGCCGCCCGCCGCCGCCGCGCAGTACTGGTACGACGTGACGCTGGCGGACGGCGCGTGCCAGGAGCGCTGCTACCTGGCGCCGCGCCTCAGCGGCCTGGTGCAGCGCGCGCACCTGCGCGCCGGCGCGCGCCTGCGCCTCACGCGCTGCTCTTACCTGTACGACGAGAAGCGCCTCAACTACGGCTTCCTCTGCCTGGAGGAGCTGGAGCGGGTGGGGGGCACCGGGCCCCCCGCCACTCTGCTCCGCCCCCGCCCGCCGCCCCTCCGCGGGGAGAAGAAGCGCTACCTGCCGCTGTGGAACAACGAGGATCCCTACGGAGACATGTGGGTGGCGGACAAGGCCCAGGCGCAGGTGGACGTCGACGGTAAGCGGAGAGGAGGCGGCTTTAGAGGAAGGGGATGGAGGTGGAAACCGGCCCGGAGGCAGCCGGGCGCCCCGGGGAGGTCTGTGCTGCTGAAGCTGTCCCCAGGCGCCCGCAGAGGTGAGAGGGCACGGTCGCTTGTGCGGCTGGGCAGACCTCCCCGATCAGAAGTGACCCTCCGGTTGCCGCGGGCATCAGTACGGACGTGCCGTACGTGTCACAGTTCACATGCTCGTGTTATTTTGAGAGGGGTTTTTTAAACTTTTCGAAAAGTTGACTGAGAAAAGTAGCTGTGGTGCTTGCACCTAGTCTTCAGAGGTGTCGAAGCCAGCTGTTCCAGCAGTAGCCTCTTGGCTAGTTAGCAGGACTGGGTGATCGCACCTGGAAGTTGCCACCCAAAAATATTGTCAGTGTTGAGGGGCTCAGGCCAGTCCACGGAGCCTGGTGAGGACTTCTGCACAGGTGCGATACCCTTGTAGGCTAATGTTGATGTCTTGTAGTAGCTCTTCCGCTCATCTGACAACACTTCTGTCATCGCTGTTTCAATTAAAAAAAAAAAAACCAAACCAAAACAAAGCTATGATGTGTGAAGATAGCTCAGAACAGGATTTCATGGTGAATAGTATCAGCAAATGAGCCTTTTTAAATGCTAGAAACATTAAGAAAATGCACGTGACATCCTGGTTTGTGCACTTTACTCCAGAAAACTTAGTGTTCAATCATGAATGATCTTTTTTGGTCTTACTTTATTTTTTCCCTGCCTTTGGTCTTTTTTTTTTTTTTTTAATTTTTTTTTTTTTTTTTCCTTAGTCTCCAAGCTGACTTCTCTCGGTCAGCTGGAAATGACCTGGAGAAGCAGAGTTCACTTCCATCCTCTTCTTGTGAGAGTCCTGTACAAATCTAGACTAAGGTACTACGGGAAACCAGAGAAAAAAATGGATATGCCTTATCAGGTAAAGAGGGATAAATACATAGGTTAACACTCGAACAAATAGCTGTGGGATACTTGGAAATCATTATTCCCATATAATAAGCACATAAAGTTAATTTTTATGTTGTAGCTACTTTATATTAAAAATGCTACCTTAAAAAAATGCTGAGCCCTTTAGAGTAGGAAATGGTGAATTTAGTGATTGTACATACAAACTGTGGTGGACGTGTTTCAGTAACTATAGTTCAGTTGAGCTTTTTGTGAAGAAAATAATATTTGGAGTTTTTAGTAGCTTAACAGCCTAAATGTTTCTGCTGGTCTCTAGGCTTTGGAAGTTGGAGTTTGTCTTGTCCAAAAAGGGGGGGGGGGGGGCAAACACTTTAACAATTTGTATCCCCTAATTCTCTCACCTGTTGACTTGCAGATAGATTGTTTTACTGTAAAATTCTTAATGATTTTCCTAATATGTTTTGCTTGTGATAGTTTTGTGTAGAGCTTCTTGGAAATGGAGATATGAAGTGTGGTGGGTTGGTCCTAGCCAGCAAATAAGCACTCACCTGCTGGTTGCTTGCTCTCCCCTGCCCTCTCCAGGGAAGTGGGAGAGAGAAATGGAAGAGCAAAAATGATGAAAAAAAACATGGGTTGAGATAAAGATTTGTTAAACTGTCTTAAACCATAGAGTGAAACTGGTATCATCTACCATTGCTGATCACAGAAAAGATAAGAATTTGGGCTGGGGTAGTTGTGGAAGAATTCTTTTGTGGAAATTAGGGATTCCTTCAACTCTAGAATTAAATATAGGTTTTGGAGCATACTCTGTATCCATTTGTAGTAATCAGAGAAATTGTTCATGAGTCAAGTAGCCGATGCATTATCCAAAATAAATACCTACCAGAATGATGATAAATAAAAGATGAATGTATTTTGTCTCTTTTTCTTTCTCTTTAGGCTTACTTTGAAGTTGCTGATAGTTCAGGCATGATGTCAATGGTTTTGTGGAATTCATTATGTCCTGAATGGTATAACAGTATGAAGGTTGGCACAGTACTTCTTCTTGAACAGTATGCTATCAAAGCCAGTTATCCATTTAAAACACAGCCAACCCCCGGGGATTCACAGATGAAGAGATTTGCTACAATTGGTTAAGTATTGCAGAAACCTGTTTTGATTCAATGAAATATAGCTGTAAAAAGGTAGCTCTTCACAGAAATAAAATAGAAAGTGATCCATTGCTGAGACTAATTGCTAAGGTATATATCCTTAAATATTAGCTCTGAAAGGTGTCTTAGCATCCAGGTTCTTATTTCCTGTTTATATTTGGATCATGTCTACAAAATGTATTGCCACAATTAGTTAAAACCTTTATTTAAAAAATAAGGAAATAAAAATCTAATCCATGATTTCAAGTATTGGAGTCATAAAGACAGGCCTCTGGTACTGAATTTTAATCTGATTCTATTTCCTGATGAATAATGCAGACACCATTTGTGCACTGCTCACACCTTGTTCAGGTCACTGAAGCACATTGTCACCTCATCTGACTTTAGATTTTAGTGTATATGGTGAAGGCCCAGAGTATCTGCAGAGCTCCACTGAATAAAAAGTTGCGTTGATGACAGCTGTCTGTGCTGAAGCAGCAGCACCGTGGGGAGTGCATATATGAAGAATATTCCTTGGCTATGAGAAAGTATTTTCTTACTTGCAGTTATTTAGTGTGATAGATACTCAAAGGAGCTATGCTACAGAAATACAAGTATTGCAATATAACAGTAATAGCCTTTTCAAACTGTATTTGGTCAACAGGTTTTTTTTTTTTTCTCTTGAACATGAGTTCTTTCCTTTTTTGTGCTTTTATACTCAAAGTGATAACCAACATTCAGATAACTTGAAACAAGTGAATATGTGTGCTGCTGAAGGATGATGTATGTATAACGTACTAACAATGACAGTTTCATAATGTGGGTGCTATGGTGCGCAAAAATAAACAATCTTTTCACTGCTAGAAACAGTGTATCCTCTGCCTAATGTATCTTTGTCTTGAAACCAGACTTTAATGCCAGAAGTGTTTCTGATGGTAGGAGAGAAAAATGCTTAGCTAGAAATGGCAGTGTGTGAGAGGAGCTAATGATGATTACAAACCAGCCCTGAAAACAGTTACAATGGCTACAAAATCTTTCTGCAGGAAAAGGACAGAGTGAAATATGCTTTATGAGGCGACTTTCTCTATGGGCAGATACAGCTTCATTCACACTACACTACTGATTTCTGCAAGCATTATTGGGATGGAAATGTTAACGAAGAGATCAGAATGGAAAATTAGACCAATGGACTGTAAATGGTAACAGATTTGCAGTGGAAGAATTAAAATCAGTCTATAGGAAAGTGCCATGCGGTATTTTCAGACCATGGATAAACTGTAGAAATCACTAATCTCTGGTTCATATCAATATGTGTACAGTATCTTATTTCTTTTCTCAGCACAAAGCTGAGAATTTTGTCCTAATATGAACTCACAAAGCACATAATACCATGCATTGGTGGGTCTTATGCCCATATATCCTGTAAGAAGAGAATCTAAAGAGAACAGAATATCCAGAAAAATTTCTAGAGCAGTTATAAAATTGATTTTATGCAACTCCTGGTGCATGGGTTTTATTTTGTTCAAATTAAGTGAAATGGCTTACTAATTACTCCATTAATATAAATATCTCTGTATATGCCCAATATTTGGTAATATTTCAGCTTTTTTTAAGCATGCACATTGAGTGCTCTGAAAGTTCTTCAGCTAGTTAAAGCAATCAATTACACTGAATTGCTTAAGTAACAATTACTTTTTTCATCATCTATTTCTAATTTGTAATTCCATCAAATCCCATCTTCCCAGTGTTTCCTTACGTTTTACAACATCTACAGGTGAATGGTTGTATCTGGAGGGTTAACAAGGCCACAAGGGGAAGGACTTTCCAAATCAAGATTTCTTGCAAGACAGTATGCTTCTGGTACATTCCTAGATTTCTGAGAAGTGAGTTCTGCATTGCTTGCTTCTCTTTGCAGCTGCAGCATTGTATGACATGCTGAGAGGTGCTCTCTCAGGACCTAAAACCTTTGGAGCTTAAATAGTACCAACACATAGAATTCTACTACTAGCAATGTGTGCATCTCACAGATCACTGAATTTGTGTGGTGCTGATGAAAACTGCTGTTTCAAATAGCCTGGACTGACCTTAGCTTCTGAATTATCCCAGGGTATAGCCCTGAGTTGAGTGTATGACTTTCATCTAATCTCAAAATGACAAAACCACTGGTAAATAGTTCTGATGCATTGGAAAGTTTTGTTTTCAGGAATTTTCTCTGAAATGCTGTCCTAAAACACCATATGCAAAACCGTAATTGTCTTCCAAATACATTTCTATAAATTAGCAGCCAAAAGAAAAGTCTTAAGTAGAGGGTCTCATTTCAAGTATAACACCTTCCTAATGTTGCACTGCTAGAGTGAGGGGGCCAGATACTATTACATAAACAATTGTATACATTATTTATAACTAGTTACTTTTCTGGGTGCGTTATTTGAATAATCCTTTACCCAAACCCAAGCATCTTGTAGAAACTTCACCAGATTGTGTCTTTTTTGTACCAGCAAGGTTTGTCTTTTTATGAGAGAGACAATAGAGTTCCACCTTGTGTATTCTAGGTGCTGAAGCCATTCCCTGTATTTTTTATCTGGTTGCAGAACCCTTCCTTTGCCCCAGTGTTCCACCCTGTTTGTTATTCAGCATCTAAACAATCTGCTTAATAAATTAAATTTTTCAGATGCTATGGAATAGACATGAGAAGACTTTTTGTTTCCTGCCATGGTGTATTTCTATCATATTAATAACTACCTGAACTGGTATCAGATGTGGAAGTTCTCATCCGCTAGATTGTCTTCTGTTTTACTTCACTGTCTGCAAGTCAATTTTAGATCTTAGTGAAATTTGAGAATGCAGCTAACGTAAAAAGTCCTTTGTATCTAATTAGTATTGAAGCATTAGTTTCTGTTGCTGGTTTTTAAAATATCTGGCTGGATGGATCTAATTGGTTCATGTAGGGAATGGGAAAGTTTAACATTGCTCAGATTATAAAATTGCATTTTTGGGTGCTGTACCTGAATTCCTTACTTTATTTTGATGAAAATATAAAGTCAGAGGAATTGATTAATAATTTCACAAGCAGTGATATAGTTAGAATACTTCATTTAAGAAACTCTACCCTGATTTTTGAATATTTTTTTTTTTTTAATATTTGGGGGTTTTTTTAATTTGTATTCATGCCTTAAATGTTACTGGCTTTTTTTTTCTTTGTCAGAAATCAGCCTTAATGTTCGAGATCCTCCTACTAAAATAAATATTATTCCAGAAGAAATGGTTAAGCCAGAGTGGGGATTACCTGAAGTTAAATACCGGTTTATCACAAGGTAAAATAGAATTTTGTTGGTTGTCAGGCTGCAACTTAAATTTCGGTACATTATACCGAATGTTAATTTAAAATGTTTTTTGAAAAGTTTCTGAGAAAGCTTTATGTGTTGTTATTAACAAATACTCACATCCTTGTTCTGTTTTGGTTTTAGGTCAGAACTGGATGACTTGCCAAACAATCATTCCTGTGATGTTATTGGTCTTGTGACATTTGTAGGAAGGGCTGAACGAGCAAGAAAGAGAGGTTTTTCTATAAATATGACTTTCAGAATTTATCAAACAATTTTTAACTTTCTGAATAAATGCTTATACGTTTTTCTTAATATTTGTTTATATAGAACATGGTGAAGACTTCTGGCTCTATCGTTGGGCACATGCCGTTGATGGGACTTCAGATCAACCATTCATACTGGAATTATTTGCAACTTCTCAGCCAGATGTGTTTGAGCATATTCATCCAAGTATTCATCTCTCTATAATACTTATTAATAATTATTTATAGTGTTTCTCTAGTTGGTTGCTAATTTTACATTCTGAGTATAATTACCACCGAATAAAAAAATACTATGGTTTATCTCTTCAAACAGAAAATAGCTGATAAGAAATGAAAATTTAAAAGTTAAAAAAATTTGTTTAAGTATTTGAAACCTGTACCATATTGCAACCTGCCAGTTAGTCTAAACAAATAGATGGGCAGCTGCACCTGGGGCTCGTCTGATCTCATTAATTTCAGAGAAACTTAAGTGAAGCACCTGGGGCAACATCTCTTGCATCAGAGGCAAATAAAGAAGGCAGCTGGTCAAATCTATTACTGTGTTAGTTATTGTATGTAAGCTAAGAATGATAAATTTAAAACAGCAATCCTTAATTAAGGATTTTAAAGGAGCTTTAGATATTTCTTATTGCCTTCTTTGTATTTGCTTCCAAGCACTCATCCTTTCATTAACACCGGTTGGTGTTGTGTGCATTTTTTATATCATATTTCTATTATGGCTGCATTTATCATGAGTGTTCTGGGGAAATAGCAAAGAATGGCATTCCAGTGTTTAACAGAGATTTTAACAAAAGAGTGACTTTGTACTCTTATTTAGAAGTTTTGCAGTGGCATGTCATGATTTCTTGTGCTTTCCATGATTTTATACTTACTAAGGTTGGACTGGATGATCTTTGAGGTCCCTTCCAACCTGGTATACTATGATTCGATGATTACCCTTAAGAAACACAGCCATCTGATATCTATATTTTTACTATTTGTTTCATTGATGTCCCAACTGAGAAAGTATTTCATGTTTTAGCCCTAATATATATGCTGAAATTTTCTTGCACAGTTATTAAGTTGAAAATGTAATTATATCTCCATGTTGTAATTTGGAACGGAGGCTCAATACGTGCTGAAGCATTTGTAGGGTCAAGAACTGCAATGACCTGTTTAGAGTACTTAAGATGAATTCATTGTGTGTCAGTCATGACACTGTAAAATCAGTGAAATATCAGGAAAAAAAATTAAGGTTCGGGGTTTTTTTTCTCCAGTGACGTATTTGGTGTGTACACAGATGAGAGTGGTACGGGACTTCACTGAGAATCCTTCCAGCACAATTTACCTTACGACTTCAAATGAAAGTCAGATATTCATTACAGGTAACTTAAACTAGTTTTAGTTTTATGTAGTGCTCATCTTATTTCTTTGGAAAGAGTATTTTTGTTTTACAACAAAGTAATCAGTGCATAGTATTAATTTCCCTGTCAGAAGTGACTTTGAGTTAATAATGAAATACCATTGCAAAAAGAAAAAAAAGCAAATGGTGTTCTTGTGAGGCAGTAATGGGTATATCTTATGAAAAGTATGTACGTATTATTAGATTAAGTCATATATTTACTAATTCTTTTAGACTGCTTTAATCCTTTGATAGCGTAGCAATGCAGATTACCACTTTCTTAAAAACATTAAAAATCACTTGCAGCTTTTCTGGCTTACAGATTTCCTTATTACAGAAAAAAATAATGGGTAAAGTTGTCCTAAATTTATGTTAGCTACTCTTTTTCACCAAATATTTGGAGAGCTATTATGTTTCATCTTTCCCAATGTGCAGGGCCTTATGCAGACCACGTGGTCTGGTAATGGATGTGATGCTGGGCTGCATTGAAGGAGTGTTCCTTCTAGATAGTCATCTTTGAATACTCCCATCTGCAGTTACAATACTGTTTACAGTCTTGTGATACTGTGCACTAGATATCACTAGGCGCTATGTCACAGGCAGGACCCAGCACAGCTGTTTGTAGTGTATTTGCTCTTGAATCAGGAGGCAGATTATAGTAGTGTCGCAAGTGAGTGATGTACTGGCCTAATTGCAAGGGAGTATAAGATGCAGTAAGTGTATCTTTCCTGTGTTTGTTTATCCAGCTCATTTATTCAGTGTTCCGAACATATCAGTCACCCAGTCCAAATCTTTCCACTGACAAGTAAGAATAGAGAAAAATACATGCTAAAAAAGTACTTGGACATAGTGAGTTCTATACACGTGGTCTTTTCTGCCAAACTGGGTAGGGTGTTCTGTGCTTAACTGGACTAGCAAAACAAGCCAGTCTTTTGTTAATAGGTTTTTAATGATTCAGATTTAGATTTTAGATTTTTGTTCTTTGCTTTCCTTCAGTGTATTTTGTGCTTAATTTTCTAATTAAATACTTAATCTTTCACTCACCTGGGGTTTAGTTCATTTTATGCCTGTTTGGGTCCTATGTGAGAACTACAGCTGGTGATTGCAAACCATTGGGTAAGAACTATTTCAGTTCACAAGTTAGACATAGATCTGGTCATAATACAATTTATTTAATAAAACTGGTATTTAGTCCGTATCTTAGTTTTAAAGCAGCCAACAATGAGTACATACATTGCCAATTATCAGTAACAATCTTCACTGAACTCTATGAAGATGATTTGTCTGCTTTTTCCTCCTAATAAACCAATTTCTGATCATTTTGTTGTTTTGTATGTTCCTCTGAGAAAGTATTCTATAGTAGCATTTTTACTGGTTGTTTTATTTCTTTTATTTTATATTTGTTTAACTTTCTGTGCCAAATGCAAATGTTAGTCAAGGAATTCAAGATACTGATTTCATAAAGCACTGTTGACTAGTGGAAAGATGTCTTTTGTATTCTCTACTCTAGTTTTTCTTAATTAATTTTTTCTACATGCTAGTTTCGAGATGAGAACGGATGATAGTAACGTGCTTTGGTTTTAATACCTGCTTATTTTTGTTTTAAAAGGATGGCACAAGGGCCAGCCATACACAAAGGATGCCAAAGTAAAAAACTTCATTCAGTGGACTAAAACACAAAACGAAGCTGATCAAATGAAGAAAACTGTCATTGGTGGCTATTATCCTTTTCCAAGACCTCCAAATAACTTTTTGAAGTACTGTAAAAACAATAAAGGTATCATACTGTCAAATATCTTTAAGTTTTGTAGCCTTTTTCAGTTCAGTCTTAATCCAAGCACTTAAGGCACTAGTTAAAAAGCAACAGGGTTACTATTAGTGATTACACAAGTTTGTAATGTGTAAGAAATATCGTAGGCTAAATCCTCATTTTACATGGCACCAGTATCGTTAGCTGCAGGAGAACTGTAGCAGCTTACATGAGTTACAGATCTGCCCAGAAGTTTTACTCGGAATAGTCTGTTAAATCACAATTGAAGACAGTTATATGGAAGGCAGTGAATTAGGAATTTCACCTGAAACAGAAATTGTGGTATCTGATAATGCATACTAGAAGATGCTTGTGAGCTAAAGAGTTTTACTGTTTAATTTTTTTTTCCAAGTGATGTGAACAGCAAAAAGATTTCAAATTCTTCAAAAACATAATTTCAAATCAATTTAATATTTAGTAACAAATTCTCCTTACTTTTCTTTTGAGCCTTGCATTCAGATGTTTTGATGCTATATTTCTTTAAAACTTGTTTCTGGAAATTTCTTTTTTGCAGTTGAATCAGTTTTGAAAGCCATAGGTGAAATGGGGAAAGAGATTGAAGACTTGCACTACAGAGAACACAAGCGCATTGCTGTTCAGGGAATAATTAGTGCCATAAGATACATCAGCTGTGGCAATGCAGCTGAAGAAGCGTCAGGAGTGGAACTTACTCAGGTACAATGTTTGAGAATCAATGCTATAGCACTTAAGCAACTATGATCATAATCAGAAAGAAGAATTTTGCATTTGAGCTCAGAACCTAGTTACATTGTCTCAATTAATTTCATTTGCAATTTGAAAGCAAAATTTTTGAAAGTCATCATTTAGAACTTTTTAAAAAGCAATGATTCAGTGCTTTTCTGAAAGTGTTATGGCAATCCTCTATAAAACTACCTAACTGTTTAGAAGTTACTAGTTTGACTGACTGGATAACCTAATGTAAATTAGCATGTGGGAGAGACAACTACTGCAACATGCTCAATGTCACTTTCTAGACAGAATTTATATTGTTAATATGATTAGAAGCTATTTCTGCTAGATACAATGTGACTTTCAAAAGGTGGGGTAAATTGTTCTGTTCCTTTAAAACTTACAGGATTTTGAACTGGAAGCAATAGCTTTAAGTGCTTTGAAACTCTTAAACAATTGACTGTTGTTGCAGAAAGATACTTCTCAGTCTCCTGAAAGTTCTGTGTCCAGAGAAGACTATGTTCACAAGGGGAAAAATGCCAGCCTTCAAAATAAAGAAGTTAAGTCTTTTCTGAGGCCACATTGCACACCTGAAGAACAACATCAGCACCAAACTCGACTGCCAAAAAGGAGTTCAGTGAAGAGGAGGACACCACACAGATCAAATACAGATTCAGAACAGTAAGCTCTCTTCATAAATATGTAGCGGATCTTCTAAAAAGTGTTTACAGAAATTAATTCAGAGATCAAGCCATAGAAAATATATCAAAAAGCTTTAAAAGCATATATAATTTAATCCTTGAAAGGTAGTTAGGTACTTTACCCATCATCAGGTGATGTCAATTATACTGTTCAGGCTCATGAAGGATTGATTAAAGCAGATGTCTGCTTTGCAGTGCTCTCTTCTGATTCATATTTATGGTACTTTGTTGTTAATCTCACAGATCTGAAATAAACATAGTTGATACTTGAACCATATATAGTTTAGTGACATAGCCGTGGGACGAGCAACGGTTATAGTGGTGTGAGGAAATAAGATTTCTTCACTGAAAGTGCAGAATCAGGATCTGGTATACCTGTTCTTTAATTTCAAGTATACCTTATTTTTTCTTTCTGGTTAATGGAATGTTCTGCACGTAGGTGTAACTTGTTGTCAGAAGGGCAAGTAGATGGTGGTTGTGTGCTAACATAAAGGCTCAAAATAACTTGTACTGTGGCTCTGCTTGTGATGGGTTTTCATGAAATTGTACTGCATCTAGTCAGACATAGACAAAGGATATCAGTCCAATACAATGAAATGGAGTAAGACAAAGTAATTTGATACAACTGTCTTGGATTCAAGAGTAAAATATCTGCTTGTATAAGATTGCCCTTTGTTACAATGTTTGTGCAGAATCTCCTGTACCCATACTGAGTATTAAAACCCTGGTGTATACACTGACAGATTTAATGTTGCAAAATTCTAGCCAGGCACGTCTTTTTTTTCTTGTAATGGATTTTCCATGCTATAAAGGGTATATTTTTCTTCTCAGCTTTTCACATCCAAAAGTCATAGTGTGAGAAGAGGGGTAGGTATCCAGAATATTTTGAGGGAAATGAGATTAAATGTAATTAGAATTGAATGAAAATTTAAGACTAAGAAAACCCTGGTGAATAGAAGTTTTGTCTTGTCAGTGTTATAGCAAACTTGTTAGTGGATTTCATTTCCGTAAGAAAAATTCCATTATTTGAGTGTCTTATGTTAGTTCTGCCTGAAAGAAAAACATGCATGTTCTTCATTTTGTATATTTCCACTTAAATACTGTACAATAATGGTGAATTTCCTACTTTAAGGGGAAGTGCATCTGTTATTCCTGTATCACCTTACCCCTATTTCACACGGTCTGCGAGAAGAAAATCTGGGTAAGTCATGTGAAGTTAATTATGTTAAATAATTGCAGTGATAAAACAAAGATATTTGTTTCACTAAAAAGTGAAGCTTTTACAGGTCATGAATCTCTACGGAAGTGAAATGGAAGAACAAATCAGGGTAGAGTTTAATATTTCATGTTCACTTCTTCTGCACTGATTCTAGTTCAAATATATTGGATTTTTTTATTCTGAAACATCATATTGAGTGTGTTACTAAACATATTTTTATATTGCTACTTGTGCTTCTTAGGGAGTATATAATAACAAGGGTGCATCATGATAAGCAGTGTAATATATGTGGTTTTTATTTCAGAGAGGTGACAGTTTAAGTAGGAAAATCAAAGGTGGGAGGGATGCTTAATTAGCAAGCAGAGTGAAGAGTGTAATAGCTTTAAAGGATTTGCTAGCAATGGCTGAGCTGTGCATCATCCTTGATGCTACAGAGGTGTAAGTATAGTTGTCCCTGAGAAACCACTTGGCTCCTTCCACTACCCAGTGCTCAGTTTTTATTGAACTCTGTTTGGATCCAAAGAAAGAATTTTTTTTATTTTATTTTTATTTTTTTTCCAATCTGTATAGGAACTTCAAATACAGAGTCCTGAGAATTCTGGAACTGAATGAAATAACTATAAATGGGAAATTATTAAGAATGAGTGTTTTATTTGTTAGTCTGGAGTAAAAAGCTACTTTCCTTCATGCATTTTGTTTAAGGGCCATTAATTCTTGTCATTTGTTCCAAACACAGCTAAGGTAACTTGAACATTTGAACTCTTTGTTGTCAGTAACTTCAGATGTTTGGGATTTTTGACAGAGGTGATTTGGGCTTGTGTCACCAGAATGTATACCCCTCAGTTGCTGCCTTATTTTGCTTTTAGCGCCTCTTTCATCCCCCCCTAAAAGAAAGAATCATGGTGCTAGGGATATAGCATCAATAGTAATGATGGAGTTGATAAGTTGTTGACCATTCTGCCAGCATCACAGCCCTACAAGCATGCCTGTATTCTTGAAAAACATTTCCTGGAAGCTAATTTGCAGCAGCTTTTTCTGTGGGATAAATGAGGCTCCTTTGAGCCCACGTCTGTTGTTTCCTCTGGTGCTCTTGGCAGATATTGCATTTTCTGGGGGAAATGATCGCCTGGCACTCCAGCCTGTTCATTAAAAATGTGACACCTGACTTTAAGGTCACATCTTTGCACATGATGCAGGAGTTTGCAGAGACTTATGGCACAAATCCATAGGAAAATGTTGAGAAATGTTCCTTTTTTTCTTGGGAGTTGGAGGGTGGGAGGAATGTTTTTTTCCCCATTTCTTGAAAGTGAAGCAAAAAGTTAAGGCATGTTTACTTTGTTCTCTGCTTTTCTCAATCTGCTACTCTCCTTGCTACCTGTGTCCTCTCTATGCCATTAGTGCTAGAACCCCAACTAAAGGAGGAGAAAGTGTGTGTTGGATTATGGAAAGCTGTTTCACTCTATATAATTAAAAGGTAACTTGTGTATTTCTGTAATTAACTATGAAGTTGTGCTGAATTCTCCAAATTGCAAAAAAAAAGTTAAAAGTTAGCCTGACATACCTTAAAATTGCATTGTTTTATGTTCTGTTACTTAGAAGTAGCAGAATGTTACCTCTCATTGAAATATTTTAATATGTTACTGAAATAACAACAGTAGAAATGTATTTTGAAGTATATATTCTATCTTAGATTATTTTGCACCAAGTATTCTGTGCAATTTTTCAGCATGTGGTTGCATTTTTTTAAGGTTTTTTTGTTCTTAAACAGTAAAAGCTTATTTTAAGGCTGTTTATTGACAGCCTCAGTTCCTACATTTCTGAGTTAACTTATTTATCTGATTATTAAGGGTTTCAGAAAGAACAAGGTAAGAGGAAACTGGTTACTTTAATATTATTGTTGGTATTTATATCCTTGCTAGTAGAGACATTCAACATAAATGTACCTTTAAGCATTTAATATGCCCCAAAGTAGTTTAATTGATAGTTTATTGTGAATAGGAAAAGATCAGGAATTTCAGAAAGTCTTGTTTTATATGGAAGTAAACAAAACCCAGTAGTTTCCTTAGCATTTTAGTATTTGTAAGTTTAGCACTGCAGTTACCGTGGAGTTGCTGGTGCACTACATGCTCACACTCTGTACTTCTTGAAAGTAACATGTTTGTATGCCTTTATCCTTGCAGTTTCACTTCTAAATGTTTATGTAACTTAGACCTTTTTTTCTTTTTTTCCTCCCCCCTGATGAGAGCTAAGGGATGAGGATTCCATAATACAGGAAAATTCAGCTTGAGGTTTGCATGACTGAAGGTTTCCCAGAATTTGACATTTCCTTCAGACCTCTTTTTCACATAAATCAGAATTTTTCAGGGACAAATTGGTAGATACCAACAATCAATTTCTGTAGACTTGTCAAATTATTGTAGAAGGCTGTTTGGTTTTCCTGTTACTGCTGTGGTAGATGCATATACCGTAATAGTGTCATAATGGTGGAGTTAAGCTGATTTCAAACTAGTCTATAAAATAAGGCTTTTACCAGTTATGTATCAGTGAGTGGGGTGTTTTGTTTTGTTGTTTTGAGCCACTCTAATACCTTGCATCATTTGGCCGTAGCTACAAGTTGTAACTATTTTCTTTCTCAGTAAATAGGTGTGAAGCACGAGACGTGCTTATTTTCCCAATATTTTCTAAAAGTATTCATCTGTCATCTATTTTGATTAGTGTTATTTTCATGGCAATACTTTAAAGTAAAATGAGTGAAAAGATGAATGCCAGTGCATCTGGAAATGCTGAATAAAGGCTTTTTTGCAAGTGGGCATCCGTGCAAAGGGGAGTCTGCAGAATGCAGGCTGGGAATAGCAGATTCGGCATGGCACAAATTCTCATAAAGCTGGCATGGGCAAAGTAGGAATGTTTTGGTGTACAACAGCCATAGCATATTGCAGTAAATGGAAGGATTTGGGTTATGTCAGGTGGCTTGCAGACATACTGACTGGCAAAGCAGCATGTAAATTGTGTGTATAGACAAGTAGGTTTCCCTTTCGACCTAGTTCAAGTTACACTGCACACACATCCAGCGCAAAGCAGTCCTAGGAATAACATGTCAGCCAGGGAAGAGAAATCATCCCAGCTACAGATCTGTGAAAGAAATGGGGGAAAATTGTGACAAGTTATTTTCATATTTTTCAGAGGCTCTACCAGCTCTAAATCAGAGCCAATTCACCTCCAAAACTAGAGAATTCTGAGAGAAAAATAAGCCATTTCTGTAACATCAACTTGTCGGCAGTATGACTAGGTTTAATCCTCTGCTTTAATGAAGGGGGAAGTTGGCATGTATTTAACTTGACACGTTGATTTCTGAGCAAGCCTTTCCTAACGTGCTAGATTTTAATGTCTCTTGTTGAGAAGTCCAAGTCTTGAAAGTGAGAATTAGTTTTGTGGGCATTAATTTCTAATTAGACTACTTTTGTTAATAGTTTTGAAACTGTATTAATATAGTTGGCATGTAAAGGTTTAATTTATTGTTATGCATACATGGTAATTACTTCCCATGATGATTCTTGTAAAAGGAATTAATTCTTCATAAGGTACTATTTTAATGGAAACATTCTTTTATCTAGAAATAATACCATAGGAAGCACAATGTAATTACTGAATTATAATTTTCAAGAGAGACAAACTTTCCTACTGTCTTTCATCAGAAAACATAAAAATACCACTGAATAAACACAGATCTGACATCTTGCATGTATCTTCCAGAGGTTGCCCTGGACCTCAACATTTGAAAAATACTTTGGACTACAAGTCACATAGAAACACATACAAATTTTCATTTACCACCATTTTCAACACAGCTCTGCTCAGAAACTTGGGTGATTGGTAGGAAGCAAGTAGGGTCATGCTGGTTTAAATTCTTCTTGTGGCAGCTTTTTTTATTTGTTAAATTAGATGTTTGAAACCTCAACTGCACAGTTTATGCCGCTTAAGTGAGGACTCTTTTGTGCCTAGAGTTGGAGATCATAAGGCCACTCCAGGACTTAGCCCACACCATGATGATAGTGCTTTCATAAAATGTACTTTCATACTCAGAAACCACAATGCATTTCCTTTTACCTTGTCATTAGATTTTAGATTTTTCCATTTGTTATGAAACACTGACATTAAATTTTCATGATATATCCTAGTATGAAATGGGAAAAGTTGAAAAAAAAATCTGTAAATCCTTATGACTGAAATACAGAACATCCTACTAAACAGCATGTTTGGTTTTGATTCCCTTTTCACTGTCTGTGTATTTGCAATTAAAAAATTGTATTAGTAACTACTTCGGTAGTCTGGAGTTTTAATAGTACCTAAATAAAGTCTTGCCTATGTCTCAGTTATTTGTGATGCAAAATAATCGAGGTAGTCTTTTTTCCTAAGTTTATTCAGACATCATGGCGAGTTTATAAGGGGAACAGAGCAAAAAAGAAAGGAATAAATGGGCCTAAGAGTTTATTTTACCATGCCATGGCTGCACAGTATCTGTTACGTTTTTTTCCTGCATAATATCCTAGGTAATTCATTAGAGATTGTTAGAGAATAGTTACTTTCTGTTAATTAAAAATTTCATGTTTGAAAATGGAAGTATAACAGAAATCTAGTTTGCCTCATTGAACTGATTGTTACAGCAGGGTAGTATGTCCAAAGGAAAAAATGTTTCGAATTTATCTTTCTGGATTCTGGAGTGATGATGCGGCTTCATTCATGCTTTTTTTTTTTTTTTTTCGACTGCTGAAGGGTGCTGATAGGAAAGCGCAGCAGCATGCTGTGCAATCATTTTTTAGGATCAGGATCAAGTCATAAAACTGTTGTCATCGGTGACGTTCAGCTTTTAGTGTCACACATACTATTTCAGTAGGTGCCCAGTAGAGGGCAACAAACACTCTTTTTTGAGTGTAAACCACTTTCCTATCTACTCCATAAAGAAAAAAAATACAGCAGTTCTTGTCCTAAGCTCTTCAAAACCGATTTACTGAGCATAGTAGGTCTCGTTATGTCAAGCTGCTCTGTTACAAGTCTTGTGTTATGAGACCAGGTACTAGTGCCCACTCATTTGAGCTTTGCCTCGTTTGTCACTAGAAATCTGTCAAGGTTTGAACTTTTGCTGCATAGTATTTGAGGTTAAATAGATTTTAAATATACATATGCTATAACTTTCTTTTTATAGCTTGGATGAATTTCAACATGAAGATTTTGTGCAAGATAAAAATGGACAGGCTGTTTCAGACAGTTCACAGTACTGCACAGGTACGTTGCAAATAGTTGCTACATAACCTTGGGAGGTTTAAGCCTACTTTTTGTTTTCAGGTCCAATAGGCAACAAAGATATCCTTATAACCCTTGTTTGTCAAGACAGCCCTCCTGTACATCTGGCTGCATCAACCTTCAGAGAGCCACTGTAGAAATATATTCTTAATGTCATTCTGCTCAGTCACGTCCCATCTAAAGGATGGCTGGAAGGACAGTGTTGGGTTGTTTTCCAGTATGGGGGAATAAATTCTCAGTGTTCGTTTACACAAATTTTAAGTTACTTTTGTACCTCAGAAGCCTTTACTAGCATAAGACCTCACATTTTCTCATGGCAGTTTTCTTGTTATAGTGACCTGCATGTGATAAAATTGTCCCTCTCTGGAAAGGTAGCCCCAAAGCTATGGGAGTACCTAATTAAAAAGACAAATACAAGATGTGGGGAGGAAATGGATAAAACATACAAGCCAGTAATAAGAATTATGCTCAGTTTAGGGATTTTTCTACATTAATATTATTAACTTTTTCTTTCTTCCTGTGCAATTGAAAATAAACTCATTGCATGCAGTTAGTTTCTTGATATCTATTTTTGGATGAAGAAAGAAGTCTAATTTGTCAGTTGTCGTGTACAGCTTGGTCTGGTTTTAATTTCATGCAAATATTTTGACATGTTTTCCTGTTTTCAAAGCTGACTAAATATACTCTGAATCATGTAATTTTATCTGAAAGTTTGTCTACTACTAGCGTCTGTCCCAACATTAACATCTGCCAATTTACTTCTATGTATGGCTATATTATGTATAATGTTGTCCATCCTTTTATATTTGCAAGGCAGCAGTTCATCTTAATTTAGTAACGACAGCAGTAGGTTATCTTTGAAGCCTATTGATGATGATCTACTCCATTGTGCTGCTTTAAAGCAACAGAAATTACAGTGAATTTTCCCAAATGTTTAATATATCAAAGAGACTGAAATGGTGAGGAAACTTTCAAATTGGAGAAAAATTTATACAGGTGATTGTTTAAAGTGAAGTTTTATTCCAGAGAAAGAGCAGCCTCAGGAACTATGTAGAGATGTGTTTTTCAAAAGTAAGAAAACGTATCTGTAAGTAAATTTGAGAATTAATTACTTTATTGGTTGTTAGTCTTCAGTGAAATTCCTTGCTTTTAAAAACAAGAAATCAGATTGAATGTTCCCACCTGAAATTATTTTTACAGCAATTTTTGGTAGCTTTAATGTTTATTGTGCAATGCTGTTACTCTCTAGAAATATTGGGATATTGTGTAGATCTCATAAAATGAATGCATTTATGTGATTTCAATGAGTTGGTTTAAAAGGTTGGTTTACCAAAAAAAAAAAAAAAAAAAAAGGATGTGAATTAAGATGTACAGTGAAATACATGCATCATTTTTTGACTGTAGTAAAGAGATATTGCATTAGATACTTATCTGTATTTTAGATATAAATACCTTAGATACTTTTATTCTTAAATTAAAATATCATTTACACTGGTATTTCCTCACTGCATGTGAAACCCTATTTAACTTCAGTTGACTGATATTTTGAGTATAGTCCAAAATAAATCAGTCTCTCATCTAATGTAAGTATGCAATAATATGAATATGCTAGTAAATGTAGCTACTCAACATATGCACATATTTTTCTCACATCAGTCCCACGGCAATATTATTAATCTTATATAAAATACTAATAGTTTAGCTGATGCTAGTTTAATATAAATAACAGCATGTTTTTATTTTGCTTAACAAGCTTACTAATTATGGTATATGTATCAAAGTGAACTCTTTTCTATGCTGTGTTCCTTCAGATTTTGAAGATACTTTTTCTTTTGCAGTATTCTGAGATTATATATTAATTATGTATCATATACTTATTTTTCCTTTTACTGATATGGAAGTCATAGGTACCATATAAAATGGAAAAGTGTTCCTAGTCTAAGCTTCATAGCATTGTTGCCATAGTCCCAGACAGAGCTTTTGTTTTTTTAAATGCCAGCAAGGGAAACTGCCCATAGCTGCCTTTAGAAGCTGTTTATGGGAACATGAAATTTTTCCCCTCCTCCCTTTGTAACTATGCATTAGTGGTGCTGACACTTTTGTCTCTTAGCAGCTCTATATCATAGCAGCCTGCATCACAGTAACACTTTTTGGATAGTCATTGGGTAGATGTACAAAAGGAGCCGATAGAGATATTGAAAACAAGATAAATTATTAAAATGTATTTTTTAAATGTTGAAGTATCTTGGGGGAAGCTGTACTGGGATATGGTTCACTCACTGTAACTTCATTTACTGCCGATACTGTTTTTGCAAGAGGTACAAAGAAGTTAAAAGATTGCAGTCTGTGCTGTAAGATAACAAAACATAACTGTAAAGCAGAAATGCACTGACTCATTTATTAAAAAAAAGTGTTTGCAAGAAAGAAACTTTATAGTAGACTGATGATCAAATTAATTTCTAAATTTTTACAAGAAAAAAACATCCGCTGTGTACTGTGATTATACAGTAGATTTAAAAAAAAAATCCTGCTAACTGAATTCAAAATAGGTTTCATCTCAATTGTTTTTTCTAGGAAATTTTGATTTTAAATGTTCATCATAGAAATTTTTATATTTTTGATTGGTTTAAAAAAGAAAGTAGTCCTCGCTGCCAAGAGCAGTTCAAACATTTGCTTTATTTTTCTTCTAAAGTATGATCAGATTGTTAGATTTCAGCATCTTACTGTTTAAATAACCATCAGTGGCTATTTCTGCTCTGCTGTCCTGATTACACATCTGTTTATGCTAAGTTAGTAGTGAGTGTACAAGTAGGATATACAACTTACAGCACGAATCATACATCAAGGAGGGAAAAGTAATGATTGAAGTTTTAGAAAGAGTTTTTAGAATCTGAAACTTTGTCTAATATATAGTATTAAGTCTTCATGCTTGTAGAGAACAGTGTAATTCTCCAAGTAAAATGGTAAGAAAAAAATGTTTCTTCTTGTAGAAGCTTTCATGTGCCCCTTTACCTTATATGATGAATTCCAGTTCTGTGAGAAAAATACTGCAGACTGCTTTATGCAATCCAGAGCACACTTTCCATTTCAGTGTTATTGTTATTTTTCTTTAAATTCACTGTCCTTTGTTGTCTAATTCAATGCAGCAAGACTCTTATTTCCCTTGTTGAATGTTCTTGCATATGTTGTATCAAGTTTGTCTGTGTATATTCTGGTTTCTTCATTTTTGACCATCCTGATACTCCATCATAGCAATTAAGACATTAAAAAGAAGGAAAGTAAAAAAAGCATGTTCACAGAAAAATGTTGGAGTGGAAAATATACCCTGTTCAGAAGGCTACTTGATGAGCAGTTGTTTCACAGGAGATGAAGGAGATGCAAGGCTATACTGGGAATATTTTGAAAAGAGCTTTCTGATAACCACAGAAGGTGGGGCTTAACACTTGCCTTCAAAATGGGAGATGATGGTTATACAAGCTTTTACAATTAACAATTCTCAAGTTGCATGTAATAGGGAAGAACAGAGCTTTCATTGACTGTATAGCAAGAAATTTTAAATGTAGCGTAGTTCTCAATGTAAGCATATAGTTATTGTGCAAGGGATGGAAAACTTTACTTTCATTTGTACCCATTTTAAACGTGTTTTCATAGTTTCTGGCTGTTCATTAAATAAGTTACGTGCCCTCCAAAAACAAGCCACGATAATGCTTTTCATGTGGGGAAATAAGTCTTTTTACTACAAGACTAGTTACCAGTGTTACCAGTTTACTCATGTTCCAACCCTAGTTTAATTCATTGTGCTGTATGTTTTGAACATTCTCCTATGTCTTCATAATTGAAGTGTTCTAATGAAAATATTTCTCATCTAGCAGAGAAGTGATATGAGCGTATAAGCAGCTAAATATTTTCTGTGTTTATAATAGACCAAGAAGGATTGAGTGATATACCTGAAACTGAAGAGACTGGAAGAACTTGCGATTCGTGGCAGAGTGACCTGTGGGCACAAGTGAAAGACAAGTTAATGAAATACTTACATCACAGCACAATTTTTCCAGAAAGCATCCCGCGTAAATTTGATTATGTGCACAAGGACTTACTTATGCAACAGTACAACCTTCATGCAGCAGTGCACGAGCCAAAAGAAATCAGAACAGATAAAAATATCAATGAGTTTAAAAGTGCTAGTGGCCTTGGGTATTATGAAGTGACAGTTCTGGGTAAGTATTTGGTAGCTCGGCTTCTGAAATGGTTAAGCAAGAGCAGTATAAGATCTTAGCTCTTTGCTGCATTAGCTTGAGAATGACTTGAAAGTTCTTTGGAAACTGAATGGATTTCTCTAAATTAACCAGTTGATTCTGAATATTTCTTGAAGTTTAAAAAAATGCTTGGCAGATTTTTTTGTTAGAATCATTATTTAGGATCATTTTTTACCTGAAAACTGTAATTCTCATTAAAAATACCTTGAAATTAAATGATCAGATGTCTTGTTTCTAGTATCACTTTTCATATCATAGCAATTTTGTGTACCGGTTTATGGGTATCATTTGAAGAATGTCTGTAGTCCTTAAGCTGTTGATTATTACAATTAGAGGTAGGTCCTGTTCACTAGTGCAACCAGTCTGACATAATCAGGTAAATTATTCAATTGCACTTGATTGTCAGCTGACATTCCTGCTGGAGGGGTATTCATCAGAAACAGGTTAGTGTTCTTAAAGCGAAAAGGACAACTATAAATGCTTCTTATGAGCTTTACTCTCATAGAGTTGTTTTTTGAGTACTGTTGCTCCTGGAGTGCCTTTCCTCCATGCTAGAAAATTTAAGGGCTGTATTTTAGCTATACTCATCAACTGCTGTCTGCTGCTTCTGATTAGTACAAAGTGCCACTTGATTGATTGTAACTTGTTAAAATATGCATACGCAAGTTGATGTTTATCTGTTTGTTAGCATTACTGTGGGCTATTAATCTGTTTGATTTTGTTTTCCCATTAAAAGGAGAAAGAAATTGCCTAGCTTAACAATGCTGATGTTAACATTCCCATAATTTAAAAGTTTTCATTATTTGCTAAGGGAGATTTGCAGAGAATGTGTTTGAATATTTACAGTCATTAGACTCCCGGGACTTAAAATACAATATTCAATATGAAAATAGCACAAGTACTGCATCTCATACTGCGTGGATACACTGGTTGTAAAATTAATTTTTCTGCCCTTGTAACAGTGCTAAAGTTAAAGAAGAATGTGCAATGGCTACCAATGTTTTAATATTTTCTGAGCTAACAGCGTTGTTAGCCTCGAATGTTACATCATATCAATTTGAATGTGCCTTATGTATAAATGAATATACATGTATATATTAAAATGTATTTTTAGACATCAGTTATTAATTAATGGACAAAGAACAAGTAAATGAAAATCGGTGTTCAGCCTGCAATAGTTTGGTTTTTTAAAAAAAAAAAAAAAAATGACGCATGAAGTTGCTAATGGGCTGAAGATGAAGTTTTCTGCTAACTTAGATGTTTTTTTCACCAGGTATAAACCATGATGTTGCAATAGATGTTGCATTTCTTCCACTGTTTTGTCCTGAAGATCCCCACTTATTTCAACTAGAAGACATTCAAAATGATACATTATTGTCTTGCATGAGTTGCATCTCTGCATGTCAGGAGAAGGCCACTAGCAATGGAAGGCGTTGTGACATGTTTCTACTTCCAAGTGAGACTGGCTTTCACTGTCATTAGTCATTTATTGTTTCTTGGTTTATCTTTCAAGAGTTAATCCTCTATAGAAATCTCTGGTGTAGGTCAGACATTGTTCACCTCTTCAGTGAAAGATACGTAAATTCTATGTGACCACCTTTAGTAAATAGATGTAATACTGAACATTCAGGGCAGTTTTTACTGGAGCTGTTCTCATACTCTGAAGATAGTGTTTTAATACCCAAACCACAAACTCCTAAGTGACCTAGGTAGTATTTGCAGTTATTTATTGATGCAACGTTATACTGGCATAGAAGTCAGTACATGTGGCTGAGCACGTAACTATTTGCCTTGATCTGCTTTGAAATAGAGTGGAGTAATTGTCAATCCATCAGTCCATTTCACTGATGTCACTTTGACCAGCTGCTTTAACACAGTATAGGCTACAGTGCCTGTAAACTGAACTGTTTGCCTGCTATTGAATTATTTTCCTTCAGCATATGCTTCTAATTACTAGCACCTCACAACATATATGGTGAACACTGTCAATGTGTAACATACTACAAAGTGCAATATAAGCATTGTGTTTTCCTGCATGTTTATATAGACAGAGCTGATTTTATTTAAATACATCTTTACTTTTCCTTGAATAATACTGTGAAATCTGAGAAGCAGTAATAGTTAAGTAATGCATATTTCAGCTTTTCCATATCTAAGTTCTGATGCTGTCATTTCTAGTCATTGAATTCACTAATAAAATTCTATAAAGAAAAAAAATCACAGTAGGCCAGCATTTAATGGTTAGAGTAAGGTTTTTCACTGAAAGAAGCTCAAACATATACACATTATTGCATGGAAAACAATGTCAATTTAGTATACCTTTTTACTATATGTATATTAAAACACTTTTTCTTAACTTCTAGATGAAATTGTAAAAGCAGCAACGGATCTAGATGGCAAACATGTTGTCTGCATCTTGGACATCTGTCACTTGGGTGATGATAAGGTGGAAGTCTTTCTGAGCAAAATCTACAAGACAGTGGAACCTGATGTGCTGGAATCAGTGTAACTTAATAACTTATTTTTCAAATTTATATTGCTTGAAAGGAGGGAAATAAAATTACTGTAACTTGAATGGTCCCTCTACACATTGCACTTTTGTAGAACTAGCAGACACAATCATAAAATTATGATTCCTGGAGCAATTGTAATGGTCATCCACGTAGCTGAGGAGGACGATTGTTGCCTTTATTTTTCTGCAGTCTTGAAACAGATAACACAATGTATTGGTCACTTATGTTCAAGAAGGATGAATAGGCAATACAGTGAGCTTATCTTTTGATAGGAAACCAAGGGGTATGATTATCACCTCCCTTTCTCTGTATGTGCACATACATACACAGGAAATGTATATATCAGGGTGAGGAATTAGAATGTTTGCATTGCATTGCAGGCAATGTTTGCAAAAGAATTAACTGGCTGTGATATAAATTTAGGCTGGCAGAATAATTTTGATGATTAGAGCTGTTACATTCTATAGTGATCTCTTAGTGGAAGGTACTAGGGGCAAACTAACTGCTCTTTAGGCTTGAAGCTTACTGTGTTTGTGAAAGGGATTAAGTGCCATAGTGCCTTTAGTACTGGGCATTGGACTCGGTGATCCAAGAGCAACTTTGAGTTCTTTTTAGCTTAGCAACGTCAACTGCTGTGGTTTTGTATGTCTGCTTTTGTATATACAGCATAGAGTAGCGAGTATATAACCTAAAAGTTTTTAAAGTATTTTATTTATTAATAAAAAAATACTTAAATATTTTTAAAGATAAACTTTGTTAGTGGAACTTGCTTCTGGCTTTGCAAGAGAAAAACTGTCTTTAAGGAGTGCTTATCATGGCAGGATACAGATTGTCACACCATTATGATTTTTCCTGTTGATCACCTCTAACCTTCACTAACAGCTGTATTCCGAGTATGTGAAGGAGCTCAGCAGCTGCAAGAAGCTGCTACTTCCACAAGAGCAAGAGACCCTGTAAAATTCTGTCAAATTTAGCCTGTAAGTAGCAGCTGACTTCTGCTGAGTTCGGAACTAAGTCCCACTTTTTCCTCCTCCATGTCAAACAACCTCAAATAATGTATACAACTGGATGCTTAGAAAATTATTCTCAAGTAGGAGCTAAAATACATTGCTATTTGACAATTTGTCCATGTGAAATGCTGGTCTCAGTTCAATTCTTTGAGAAGAAATGATTGCATTATGGAAGCTTGCCAGTTAAATTGTACCATTATTGACCGAAGCCCACAGTGTTAATTTATAGGAACAGATTTATTCTTTTTTGGAAAACTTCTAGGCACCTTTTAGCAGCCTGTTGGTAATTGAGGAGTATCTCTTTCAACTAGCAGCTCACTAGTCTGCCCTGGGGACAGTGGACTTTGTCTTCAAGTACTTATTCTGTACCCTGACTTCAGTTAATGGTAATTAAAGGAGAAATGTAACTGTCTTTATTATAGTACAACTTCATAGGCAACTTCAGATAAAAAGTAAAAGCCTTAACATTCTAAAGAAATTGGTAAAATTAGTCTGTCTACTGTGGTTTACAGTTTAAAAATGTATTCATGAGAAAAGTTTAACTTGAATTGTACAGGGATTAGAAGTTAAATGTGACTACATATTGTATGTTTATATTTTGTATGGATCACGCAGTATTAGTTCTAGAGCAATGTTTGTCAACCCATGCCTATCAGAATACCTTGTAACCTTGCCACAGAAGGCAAAACCAAAACATACCAGCCCAAGAAGAACATGGTGTTGCTGGCAATATGTTATTGTGTAATTTTGTTGCTTATGGGTTTGTGAAGATAGAGGCCATTGCTCTAGAGTGAGAGAGATAAGCACTTCGCATACCAAACTGAGCCATGCTGACTGTGTCAGCCAGTATTTTTTATTTAGATATACTTCAGGTTGAAGTCTGATTTTAATGAAACCATTATTTCTAGAAGCAACTTTTAAAGTAAATATCTTTGTACGAAAGGACTCATGTGGCTGGCACTGTCACAGAGCCACTCTATTCAGTTGCACTAGCCACTCCATCCATCCCATGCAACAGAAATGCAGCAAATGCTGTTCGTCACATTTGCACTGCTTATTACACTTTAAACACATAGCGTTAATCGTTTCATCCTCCATGTTAGGACTTCCTAACTCTAAAAGAAATATCAGAATGGTGCGGAATATGTATAAAATGTGCTTGAGACTTTAAAGCATGTAATTTCATTTTACAGAAGTGGTGGTTGAGATTTTTCATGGTAAAAGCTTGAAGGAGAGATACTTACTCTTGCAGAGTGAAGTGCCAGTGTTAGAAGCACAGGCTTTTTGTGTGTAGCTAGAGAATATTCAATGCCTGTAGTAGATTTGGAATTTCAGTACCCTTGGTCATTCTGTAGAGGCACTTATCCCATCCCTGTAAGTTACACTGAACTTAATATGCCAACTTCAGTTTATGAAATGTTGCAGTATTAATACATAGTTCCACCACTCTGCCTCCCTCGTCCCTGCCAAACCAGCACTGTATAGCACTGGGGTGAAGGTCCTCTCTGCAAAGAAACGACTTACTGTTTTATTTCGCTTGGTGTTTATTGATGCAAGTATAAAACCAAAGTATTTTTGATTCTGAGTCTGTCAAAACATGTCAATTTTGCCATGTTAAACCAAGATACAGAATCTTTTCTCCTGCAAAAGTCACAGGAATGATCTTTTTTGCTGCTGTATGTTGCCGCTGCTGTGGGTAGAATACTATCAGAGCACATTTCCTAACTGTAGAATTCATACCCAACCCAAGAATTGTACTCTAAAATCTTACATTTGCATATTTCTTATGTTTCCAGCATTAATTTCAAATAAAATCGTGGTAAACTATATGTAACTAATGGTACTTTTGAGTGTATTAAACTTGCTAGTTCATAGATGTAAGATCAGTTTTGAATTAATGTGATGTAGAATTAGTGCAACACAGAACTGAAGAATATAAATAAATGAATTAATATATGCAAATGTCTTGGATTATTTCTTTCAGCTTCTTTACCTTTTCTTTTCACTTCTGAAAGCGGTTTCAGTTTTGCAATAGTCTCTTCCACAGCCGTGTTTACTCTTTTAAAGAACCTTTATGCGAGATCTAGGTCAAGCTTCCATCAAAATATATGCCACCAATTGCAGTTTCCCTTGGCTTTCAACGGTGTGCAGCATGACTTTTGCAGAAAAATGGGAAAAAGGTCTTGACAACTTCACAATATGTCTTTTATTTTCATTATGGACTACAGAGTTCTGACATTAGAAATGTTTTCATTTTTGTGTTCTAATATAAGAAAATAAGAGTTGATACTAATGTTATGGAATACAACAGTAACTGAATTCAGAGAATCTATAGAGCCTACATTCAAAAATGGAGAGTTGTGTGATAATCAAACTTCTCAATATAAATCTTGAGCGTGAGTGTGAAAATGGGCTGAAAGAGGTAGTTCGCTTCTGTGATCACCAGGTGATTCTACATCTCTTGCATTGGTGTAAATCAATATTAAAATCGGTCCATTATGAACACCAGAACAAGCTGGACCTGATATAGGAGATGACTAAAAGAATCTGAAAGGAGAAATGCAGGGAATTACTTGGTTATCTTAGTCCCTCAAATGGTTAGATTTTTTTAGTATTTCCCTCCCTCCACTTTTGACCCTTTTAACAAGGTCATTTGCATCACATTGCATTGCGAAGTGAGAACCCTGAGCTTACATCACTGAATGAAAGATGACCTGGTCCTCTGAAGTGACGTTCAGGTTGAAACAGGAGCAGGGGGCTTGAGCAATCTCTCAGGAAGCATCATCAAAGCTGGACTTTGTGCAGTAATGGGGGAGAGGGAGGGGGAGAAGGGAGCTGTGTGAAAAAGGAGCACTGAGTTAGGGCTGGGGGTTACTTGCAGGTCCTTCAGTCTGCACCTCTACTTCACAATAGGTGGGTGTGTCGCTCGCTGCCTGTCCCAGCCCCCACTCCAGATAAGCTCACCAACACCTCCAGGACTTACCTGGGTGGTGTCAAGTTCCTGTTGGAACTGAAATTTCAAACTCCTCAGCAGACTGTGGGCTAACGACAACTACCACCAGCCGAAAATATCTGTAGACGTCTACATTTTGTGCTTATATGAATAAGCAATGAAGCAAGTGGATAAATTCGGGTTTTTCTGCCTCCTGGTGGATGTCAGTATTTTATTCAAGACTACAGGGGCGTTTTCTGTGAGGGCCTCTGTAAGTTTATTCTATTTCAACAGCACCAGCAACAGGTCTGCGTCCGAGCAGTGTGAATGCGGCCTGTACGGATTACATTCGCCTCTGCTTAGTGCTCGGGGGCTTGTGGGCATTCCTAAATCTGCTAATCTTCAAGCCTGCGATGCAAATACCCAGTTCACCATCACAAAACCACCGTGGATAGCACTGATTGAAAGAGGCAATTGCAGTTTTGCTGAAAAAATTAATGTGGCAGCCAGGAGGGGTGCAACGGCAGCTGTGATCTACAACGTGCTGGACAAAGGCAGCAACACCGTCCTGATGTCGCATCTCGGTGAGTATCACAGCGTGAAGCGCTCAAACCTGATCATTCCTCTGGGGTTTGGTCCAGGACAGCACCGTCAGGCTATGAGGTAGCAGTTGTGTTTGTGGATGGTGGTTGCTTTAGTCAAGAAGTCGAATGGAAAAAAAAAAAAAAAAAGTGTATTCTGCAGTTTGAGTCTTGACTTCAGTACTTGGTATACTCTGCTGTTACTTTCTGAGCTTGGCACAGAGTAAACCCGTAGTGCCTGCTTTGAAGGCACTAGTTTATTTTTCGAGGTTAGGGGACACGAACCTACAGGTGTCTGCAGCATAGGTATGTGCTTTGCAGATTGCAAGCCAGATCTTACTTTTTTTTTTTCCTCTAAATTGTTCTAATCCTTTCTGAATAGTGGCTGATCTCAGCCTCTTCTAGAATTCCTGAATTCCTTACTGAAAGGTTAGACAAAATGATTGGAATCGCCAGTTCTGGCCCTAATAGCTATGAATCTGTCATTAGGGAAGAACTGAGAAGCTAATCGTGATACTGTATTGCTTGGCTTTTATTTCTGTGTGTGTTCCTCTAGGTCAACCTGCCTAATAGGCACTTCAGTACAAGGCATTTGTATATGTAGCTAATTCCTCAAAACACATTTCAGTAGAGCTGCACTAGGAATCCTTTGGCTTAAGCGTTGCTTGTCTGATTTTGTGAGCAAGCTGAGCAATTTTTAACCCGGAGATGAGCCAGCATTTTACTGCTCACATCCCCGTGCTGGTTTGGGTTGCCACTGGGGGCGGCTGTTGGCTGTGGAGCTCGCACCTGGGCGGCTCACGGGAGTCAGCCACCGCCAGCTGTTGAGCAGCCTGGCTCAGGATCCCAGCTATGGGCCTGTAGCAGCATCACAGGTGCTTTACGAACCTAACCATCCTGTGAGGCTCAGGTGAAAAAAAAACAAAAAAACAAAGCAAAGCAAAACAAAAAAAAGCACCGTAAATAAGGTATTGAACAATATAGTGGAAAAGGTGCTGTACGGCACTGAAAGTGCAGCGGCTTGTTGTACTGCACAGCCAGTTTTGACTCTCCTGATACCACTACAGAGCTAGTGTTTGCAAACGGAGCTTACATGTTTTACCTTAAATGCATGGCCAATAAACCAAAGCTTTTTTCTACCTCTGGAGAAAGAGTGATTTAGGTTTCAGTGGCCAGCATGTCAAGACTCAGATCAATTTGCTTTTTTAATTCAATTTTGGAGCGTGCCAGCTCATACTAACACTGGATGAATAAAGAAAGAATTGTACTGGCTTTATGTAGATGCAAAATTGGTGCCAGCTGTGTTTCTTGCAAGCAGTGGTGGCCCCAGCTGGCCCAAGGCATGAGCGCGGTGGTAGCAGGGCAGCCGGTTTCCCTGGAGGTTGGCAGAGGAGAATGAGATGTAACCTTGTTTAAACATGCTGGTAACTAGGAAGTCAGAAACCGGAGAGTTAGACTAGACTCCAGAAATAAGATAATTATTTAGGATGAGCTCTGAAAGCAGACCCTAATTTTTCAGATTGTTTTTTCTAAAACTAAAGAGATTTTTTTAAATCTTTAAAGCAACAGATATATCACCCAGGAGTATATTTCATGAGACATGAAGTCCATTGTTTTTAATTTCATTAATTTCATTTTCTCAAAGACAAACTGCAGTTTTTATAGGACTACTTTCTATAGTCGTCCTATAGGACTAAAGTGGATGTTATGATCTATTTGGTGGAAAAGATCCAGTAGTCACGTCTGTTAAACATGGTGATGGCAAAATACTTCAGTGAGATGAGCTCTTTGTCTAGTTCAGTATAAAAGAAGCATCTTCTCTCTGTACTTGTTTCCCTCACTGCAAAGTGTGGAGCTATACGTTCTTTATGTAAAACGGAAAAAGCCTGGGAGAGGGGTGATCACTACAGCACAGCGGTTAGAGCAAAAGAGTGCGTGGAGATGATTTGGGTTTTTTACAGTAGATTTGTTGACAGGATGGAACTCTCCTGTTTGGCTGGTATCTGCCAATGGTGGCATTGCCCAAAGAGGTCTGAGGAGACTTGGGGGGTTAATCCTCTCTGCTGTTTGGGTAGGGGACCTCTGGAGATGGGATGCCCTGTTGGCAGAGCAGCGAGAGAAAAATCTGCCCTGCTGCTGCCAAGTGATCTGCGAGCTCCTGATTAAACAAGGAGCAGCAGCCTCCGGGGTTATCGGCCGGCTCTCAACTGGTGCCAGCCCTGACATCTTCAGTCATCCATCAGTATTGCTCTGCTACTGTGCAGGGCTATAGGAATCCCATCACTTTGGTTACTTATTAAGCCTTGAGGGCTTGGCCACAGTTTCACAGAATCATAGAATACCATATTGGAAGGGACCTCAAGGATCATCTGGTCCAACCTTTCTTGGCAAAAGCACAGTCTAGACAAGTATCCAATATTGGGGAAAACTGCCTTAGTTTCCCGCTGTCCTCCTGCCTTCCTGCTGACTTTAACATAAAATCAATAAACTTTCTAGCCAACCTTATTTCTGTTACAACAGTACAATATGATGTGTGTATTTCACATCATAAAGCACCCCCTCAGTCTTACAGCAATGAAATGGTTTGTTCTGGGCAAAGTTCAGGTGTGCAGGAAATGTTGGTAATTTAAAGTTGCTGAGAAGGAACAAAGATAATATAGCTCCCCTCCTGGTGACCCCTCCCTCATCCTTTACCACAGTTCCTTTTACCTGTCACCAGTTTTACCTGTTATTGGGTATTAAGTTATTGTTACACACACACACAAGATAAAATTGATACATTATTAGCTTTTACTATGGAAAATTTTAGAGGTCAAGGTATTAGCAACTACTTTCCCATTCCTCTCTGATTACACAAATCACTGATGGGAAAATGCTCTACTTTAATCTGAAATATTTTCTGTAGGTGTTTATGTCTTATTTGCATGAAGGTAGATTGATCCAATGGTACAGAGACTAAGCTTTTGCTAGAAGAAAAATGTCTCTTTTTAGCAGTTCCAGCACTTGATTTTCTCTGGAAAGGAAATGGAATATGCATCTGTAAAAACATTTTTCCAGCACTGCTCCTTGAAACTTAAATGGAAATTCCAGGAATTATGAAGTTTTTGAAACATAGCCAGAATTAATCAAGGTATTTTGGGGCTCCTTTTTTAGTAACAAATACCAGACCACAGAATAACAGTGTTCTGCAAAGTAAGTTATGAAGCAGCTGGTTTGGGCCCATGCTTTGTGAGCAGGGCTGGCATGGGCCAGTGGAGGGCTGTATCCTCTTATCACTGTGATGTTTTTTCCTTTTTTCCAGTTCATTTACAGGAGAAAATTGGAGACTGGCAATAGGAGCATAAAAAAAAAAAAAAAAAAAAAAAACAAAAAACAAACAAGCAAACAAACAAAAAAAAAAAAAACAACAACCAAAACAAAACACAAACAAAGCACAAAGCCCCCACCAT